GGGGGGGGATTGAAAAACTAAAACGTTTTTCAGGGGGAAAATTGGAGACTTCAAAAAAATTCTTGCAAAACTTTTTTTGTGAAAAAAATTCCTTTGCCGCGATAGAACACGGCGCCACGCATAATTAGACCGTGGCCGTGAACACCTACCCGGAGGACACACAATGCGGCGCTTGTACCTACTGGGCGGGAGAGGGAGGGAGGCGCGTGGCGGCCGTGAAGTTGCCGACGACGGGGACCTGGTTCACTAAGCTCATCGCTCATCATCGCAGTGGGGTGGTGGACGCACTGTAAAACACAATATTAGCGGGTGAAATATTTTCGGATGGAAGAACAATTAAAATCGGTGGGTAGCCCTCTAGCTGGTGGGGTTGCAGCCCGCGCTGCCCGCTGCGGCGCGCTGACCTTGCGCATGCGTGATGTCGACACCCCATCCCATCGCCTCACGCCCCGGCCGAGGCGGCCCCTCCGGCCGAGGCGGCCCCGCCGGCCCCGCCCCTCACGCATAGGCCGCCCGCTCCGCTGCCGCCGAGCCGAGCTGCCGGTGGGTGAGTTTGCCCAACTCGCCCGCTGGCTCGTTGGCACACACCTGTGGGCCGAGCCTGGCCCGCCTGTTCGAGCCCCCCAGGAACCTGTGCGGCCCGGGCCCCCGCGCGGTCGGGCGGTATGGCGTGAGGCCCTTGCGGAGCCGGCCAGTGGAGCAGCAGCTGCTGCAGCTGTTGGCCCAGTGATGCTGGATGAGTATTGAGGAATTATGTCAGTGCGGAGAGGGGGAGGGGGAGGGCTGCTGGAACCAGTTCCCAGCCGTGTTCCTGCTACCGGGGGGCCGGCGGCGCCCGCGCCCGCGGCCCGCGGCCGATGTCACGCGAGACGACAACGGGTGGGAGTGGGGAGGCCGACCTCATGCACCTGTTTAAGGTACTTCTCTGAAAACCGACGAAAATCGCATTGTTTTGCCGAATAAGTGGAAGTCGACCAAAGTACCATAGTGCATGAGGCAATGAGGCACTCGACCGCTGGCTCGGGCTGCCGCCCCGGAGCCATGTGCATTGCACTGTACGACCCAGCAGAAGACGGGTTTGCCTACTCGGTCCATCCGTAAAGGTGCCATATGGCCCTCGGGTAGGCAAACCCGCAACACTGGTTGTGTCGTAGCCCGGACTCATAGTACAAAGTAAAATTGATGAAAAGCGACGACTTGATGGAGCGATTCGTCGCTCAACTGTATTGATCACAAAAGAGGTAAATATGAAGAAGGACCAAAAGATAAAATACGGTGGGTGGCCGGTGGCGGGTCGGCGGTCGTCCGTGCAGGTATCAAGGGCTCGATCAACACGCTAAAACTCATGACTTTCCATGTTTTTTGTATGCCCTCTCCCCCTCCTCACCCCGCCACATCACCCGGACAGGCAAGCAACCTAGCGACGAACGCGCAAAAGTATAAAATGGGAGACCAGAGAGCAACAAGTGAGCAAAAAAAAAAATGTCGCTACGATTGCAATGATAAAAGTTATCGCGCGAAAGAGAGTATGAGACGGTGTGGGAGAGGTCGATCTCATTGGTCCTCGTCGCCAGGGTAGGGTCGCCACTCACGGGTCAGCCGCCCATCACGCGACCGCTATCTGCTCGTGCTCGGGTCCTCACTCGTGGCACCCGCACCCTAACGCGGGGCTGGCCCGGGGCAGGGCGGCGACCCCGCGACAGACGAAGCTAATGATGGCGACTGGTCGCTCGGACCGGGACCGGTAGCGATTAGGGCGGTTCCCTTATTGATAGACATTCGCAGCAGTTTGAGGGGAAAAGTTTGCGCTAACGAGCCCAATTAATGTTGCGTAAAAAATCATGAGTCGAGTTGGTGTAAAAGAACACGCGGCAGGTTTGCCTAGAACGCAGACAAAAAAAGGTGTAATTATTTATATCACGCTGACGTCGCACTAGGAACTTATCGTGATGAAATGTCCAGCAATTACGCGGGATGTTTCCTTCATAGCACATGAATAAGTTTTGCCCATGATGTTCAACCTGTTCAACTACTAAACGCGAGCAGTTGGTTTCAAGTCCACGTGCTCTGCCCGCCTGCGCCCCAGTCTGCACGTGCTGATGCCGCCGGTTTTGTCCCGATAACGCGAGACCGGCCTGGTCCAGCTCCCCGACCGTTTGTATAATCGCGCGACTAATCAGTCCCCCCGGCTGCACGTCGCGTATCTCATGGTGCAGCTGAACCGCGACATGCGCAAGGCTGACATGAGTGCTCATCACTGGTGACACGTAAAAAGGGCGTAAGTCCAGTGCAAAGTCCGCGTGGACTTACGCCCTTTTCACTTTTCACCAGTGACATGGGCACGCCGACGCGCCGCTCTGTTCAGTGTGTCGTACAGGAGCGCGCTCTCGGCGAAGGGTCTCGCTCCGCACGCGCCGGGCCGGCAGGACTCTGCGGCGCCCCTCCCACTACAGGCTCCGCTCGCAAACAAAAACATGTGCGCCACGCCGCCACGCGCGCCGCGCGTCGCGAAAACAGACCCCCCCCCCCACTCCGCAGCCTCCGCGGTGGAATTTATAACGACTGGAAACAACAGGCGCAGTCACGTTGTTGTTGATCATATCTTCCTGCAAGGCGTCTTTTAGAAAGCTTCCGTAAGAAGACGTTCCTGCGAGCCGTTTGGACATACTGGTCGCCGAAGTGTGACACGACAGTCTTGCTCACACTTGGTGAAGCAGAACAGAAGAACAGAAGCGTCCAGCGTATCAGGAAAGTCCCTTCCCCGACAAACTTGAATAGTGGTCGGCTTTGTCAAAAAATAATAGCGTTTTACTTGATGGCAGCCTTTGGGATGCCCGCGCCCGCGGCGGGCCCCCATACGGCACCAACTTCGGGTGACACTCACCTTGTCGGTGGCCGATGCCAGCAGCGCCCCCGTGGCCTCGTCCGCGAGCTGCGTCGTCTGCGCCGCCTTCTCCAGCGGCTTGCCCTCCGTGGTCCCGAGCGTGAGCTTCATGGTGTCTGCGGAATACAACGTACATCACAAGTTGCAGGTTAAAGAGCAGCCATTTCCGCTGGGCGTGGAGCGCACTGTCAGAAAAAAGCACAGGATTTTCACAGAAAAAAGTGCGTCAATTAATTACACAGCCTGTCTGTGCTCAATCCTGTGTGAAGCACGGAGCTACCACAGTATG